AACTATGTCATTTATTGTTCTTAAGTCCTGGACCAAATTCCATCTACCACTGGGTTGTTTTACAACTCGGAAGTCCGCATGCAAGGCAGCGGTGAAGTAAGGAACTGCTTATGAGGTTTTCTGTCAATTCCAACAATTAAGAAATAGTGAGAAGAGTTGGGACCTCAGAAGGCCTTTAGGACCAAATTGTAGGCTCTTGTGTCCAGGAGAAAATGATTATACTTACCAGTACTGTTAAAGCTCACCCACAGCTCTTCTGGGAGGATCTAAATCCTTGAAGAGTCCTCCTTTGTTTCCAGCTGGGAGCTGGGGCCTGTCAGTCCTGTCAGCCACGAGGACCTGATGTGGGCCACCCTTGGCCAAGGGACAAAATCTTAAATGATGCAAGAAGTATCAAAGGAAGTTTGGAAGGAGTATACAGAGTCTCTGTACCAAAAAGAATTGGTTGACCCTGAACCATTTTACAAAGTAGCATATGAGCAAGAACCAGCAGTACTGAAGGAGGAAGTCCAAGCTGCATGGAAGACATTGATAAAAAATAAATACAGCTGCCTGGCAAACCAACTGGAGGATACCCATTTTTTAAAAAATCATAATCCAACAGAGTATGGAAATTCTTAAGCAATACCGTTACTATAGCACTCAGTATAATCTTGCTGAAAATTATTCAATAACAGGGAACTCACAATACATTGTCAAGAGAACTATCAGAAATTCAAGATGGATTCAGAAGAAGCTGTAAAATGAGATAGGTGATCACAGGGAACAAGATGCTTTCTTGTGTTTTATTTGCTATGCAAAGACATTTGACTGGGATATAATAAATGATGAGAAAAATGGGAATTCCAGAACACTTGTGCCCATGGGAACCCTGTACATAGACCCTGCTTCTCAGCAGTTAGTCTTAGAGAACAAAGGACTATTGCACGGTTTAAACCAAGAAGGGGATGTGTCAGGGTTGTATCCTTTCTCCAAACCTATTCAGTTATGTATGATGGGCAAGTAATTTGAGAACGTTGGTTATGTTAAGAATGTGACGTTCGGATTAGAGGAAGATTCATCAACTGCTTCTCTATGCGGATGACACAGCTTTGCTTACAGACAGTGTTTCCTGAAGAAGATCAAAGTCTTTAGTGTGCATTATATTTCATCACCAGGAAAACAGAATCCTTAAAACTGAACCAGTATGCAATGTCATGATTGAAGGAGAAAAGATTGCCGTTGTCAAGGATTTCATTTTAGTCAGATCCACAACTGACATCTATGGTAGTAGCATCAAGAAATCCAGAGAAATGTTGCATCAGATAAATCTACTGTCAGGGACCTTTCTAGTATGCAAAAGAGCAAGAGCAAGCCTATAAAGACTTGAAGGTGCTCCTGACCTCAGCTGTGGTCTTTTCCTTTGCTTCATGTGCATTTGAAAGTTAAAAAATGATTCAGAGCAAAATTTGTGACTTTGAGTTGTGGTGTTAGCAAAGACTATTTTATGGACTGACAAAAGAACACACAGATCTCTTGGAAGAAGTGCAACCAGAGTGCTCCTTAGAATTTGCATGGTGAAACATGATCCCTCATACTCTCGTGTTGCTAGGAGGCACCGGTCCTTGAAAGAAGACATCAGTTGGGCATAGTGGAGGAAGAACCTCAGTGAGACGGACAGACAGTGACTCCAAGTGGGCTTGACGTAGCAGAGATGGTCAGGGTAGAACAGGAGAGAGCAATATTTAGATCTGTTCTTAAGGTCGCTATGAGTCATCGGCTCCTTGCCAGCACCTCACAACAGTCCATGCTTTGCACCAGACTTTTAAATGCTATAGCTTGCACTTTTCAGCAAGACCAAGCATTACTGTTTCTGCTGCTAACCATTCTTATATAGGGTGGAAACAGAGTTGTCATCTTTGTAGGTTTAAAAAAAAAAGGTCCTAGCTAATACCTATTTGAAAATAAGCTTTGGAAAGTTTTATTTCACTAGAGTTAACCCTGTACATGATAGAGGTAGAAAGTTGTCCTATATGTGTTAGAGATAAGTCTGGAAAATCATTTGACTCCTAACCTTTTCTCTAAAAATAGTGACAATAACTAAGTGATAGAGCTATACAGCAAGTTTGGCATGAGTGTATAAGAACAAGCTCTTTTAAAAGTTAACAGATTGGGTTCTCCATTATACAAAGGGAGGATGGTGGCTGCTGCTGCTTGTTAGAATAGCGAGATACCTTCTCCAACTCCAGTTGATTACATCGTGGATGTCGATTTAAGAAAATGTTCCTGTTAAAATATTTTTTCAAGTAACAATTTAGATCCTGACTCAGAATTTATTTCATTTGACTTGTACATCTATTAATTAAGCTCGTGGTTTTGTGAAGCATAGGACTTTGGGGATCGTGAAGTATGAATTCTGTTAGTTGATTCTTGTCATGAAAATGGATTTTTGTCTGTTTGGCCACTATTGTCTATCTTATGTTGCTATAGTAGTTTCATAATCCTGCTATAGTTCTCTTTTGTTTTAATCTTTGCCTTTTGGCATTAATAATATGTGATGCCCACATATACCTGTAAATTCCAGGTCGCTCTCAGGGTGTTGGGTGGGAAGATTTCATTGGCATCGAGTTGGAACCGACTCATGGTTGACCCTCCAGCAGAATTTCAGAGGCTATAAATCACACAGGAGGAGATTGCCCATCTTTCTCTTGTGGAGAAAAAGATGTACATTCACACCGCTTCTTTTTTGAGTTGGTGGTACAGAGCCCCTGGGTAGCAACTATGTCTTTAATAGTACTGGAACTGAGGACATAGATTTGATGGTTAGCTTGCCAGAACTTTCTCTGTTACCCTCATTTGTGTACTGAAACAATTTTGAGTACTAGCAATTAAAAATAAATAAATAAATATTGACATGCAGTAAATGGGGGGCAGTGAGTGAAGAATTCATATTTAGTTGAGAAATTTGTTTTAAGTGCATCAGCAAGGTCTTGGAGAAGGATTATTCTTTGGGAATAAGTCTGGGTACAGATAAGAGTAGGTGCAACTTTAAATCTGCTCTTTAGTGATTTGAATTAAGAATTATTCCTGATAGCTAGAAAGAATTCACTAATAAAAATCTGGTTGAAGCAAACTGGGAAATAGGGAGAATCCCACAAATGGTAAATCAGAATTGAAGCCTCTTGGTGTGCCTGCCAGCATATTTGAGGGAAGAGATAGGCAGGAAGACTTTTTTTTTTATACATAGAAACAACTAAAAGAACAGAAAAGAAATGGAAAAGGTTAGCCGTGTCTGTACCTCTGCAATAATAGTCAGCATGTGGAATGTGCTGGTTATGTTAGTAGAAAAGTTTTATTCTACCAATTTTAAGCTACGTTTTGTTGGGTTGTTTTTTTGTTTGTTTGTTTGTTTGTTTGTTTAAATGAGAGTACTCTCTAAACAGAAATCTTTGAGTCTGTGCAGTTCCAGTCTTGCTTAGGACGGTTGTATTCCATTCCACAGATCACGTTTGAGACTAGTCATGTATCAGTGTTTTAATGTGGGTTCTGCTAGAAACAAACCCAAGACAAGGATTGAAGGGAAGTGGTTTGCGTGGGAGATGTAGGAAACACTGGTGAGGAGGGAGGAAGTGGGGCAGGCAGCCAGTGCATCGCTAAGCCGTCCACTGCAGTGGGTGGTCAGGGGAGCAATTTCCTCAGGGAATCTATGGCAGATAGTGCAGAATTATCCCACCAGAGCAACAGGAAGCCGAGCGATGCCAGTTCTCCGGGCACTGACTGAGGCTGCTCTCCGAATGTTAGTCCTCTGGCACATCTAGTCTACCATGCACGTGGGCAGGCAAAGATCCTCAGCACAGAAATTCAGAACCTCACGACTGGAAGTTGGCTAGGGCAAAGAATCTGAAGTGTAAGTGGGGCAACGGCACCATCTGCTGCAAAACCCACATCCTTTGAAATCCTGTTCTGAAACTTACTTTGGGGCGTGTTTTGCTTGGAAATGAAGAGTTAATAATGACAACTTTCTCATGTGTGAAGGACTGTCACATTGAAGAGCCAAGCTGACTTAAGACATACTGAAATCGGTATGTAGAAATGACAGGATTGTCATTGAACACGTTGTGATTCCCAGAGGGAAAGTTGAAGTATTAGAGATCTTTATTAAAAGGCTGGATGAAACCTTAAAAGGGATGTTGTTCAGAGGTTTTGTGGGAAAGTTTGACTCTTTATATTCGATGATAAACATTTATAGTTTGGACCAAAATTGTGCTTTGTTTTGGTGTACATTAAGTACAGACTTGTGTTTCATTTAGACTCTAGTGTTTACCTATGTATTCTATGATGACTGACAGTACTGTAACAAAACCCTACTGCATCAGGTTGATTTCGGTTTGTGGTGAGCTTCCATCTGCTTTCCAAGGCTGGAGATCTTTCCTAAAGAGGAAATTGTCCCATTTTTCTTCCTCAGAGTGACTGGTAGATTCGAACTTTGATTATTAGCAGCACAACACATAATGCACGGTAGCACCAGGGCTCTGTAATAGAAAAGATGACCATATGTTCTTGTTTTTTTAGGACAATCCTGGCTTCTTTGTTGTAGCCTGGTTACTAATTGCACCTGCATTCTCTCTGAAAAGTGTCCCACTTGGGGTAGCAAATAATAAGGTCACTTTATAAATTCCTTTAAGGACCAGTGATGGCTCAGTGGTAGAATTCTCAACTTGACATGAATATCTTGAGCTTGATTTACAACCCATACAGCTTGAGCACAGCCATCTCCTGTTTCTCGTTGGAGGATTTTGTGTTACTATGATTTTGCAGCGGTTTCAGAGGCGTTTCCCGCCTCATACAGATTAGGAAGGAAGGTCTGATAATAAACACCTGAAAAGTCAGCCGGGGAAAGCCTCCTGGCTCCCAGTGATGAGTGCTCTTGTCCACATGTGCTTGTGAGTTTCAGGTGACTTGATGGGAGCCAACAGCAATACCGACTTACGCATTTTTATATTAGAAATGTTTTTTATCAATTTCTCTAAAAAGAGAGAGAACGCACCGGAGTACTTTATTTTACTTTGAGGATCAGATTCCCCCCCCCTCAAATAATAGAACATATAAACTCAATACTCGTTCAGTGAATTTAGTTTTCTATCTATATGACCTATTCGTTTTCCCAGGTTCGTAATACATGTACCTAAGCATAGCAATATGTTCTTTAAAATTCACAATTACACAATGAAAGAACTTTTTTATCCAAAGAAAAAAGTGAACTGAGGGGGATGGAGAACAGGGAGGAAAATGTGCAACAGTGAATCCATGAAAATCCAAGTTCTTTATAAACTTTCATTAAAATCTCTATTAAAAAAAAATCACAGTTATTTTCTTGTGCTCTTTTAAACAGAAGACAGACGGTGACAAGTACTCCTTGCTGGATTGAACTCCATCTGAATGGACCTCTGCAGTGGTTGGACAAAGTATTAACTCAGATGGGGTCCCCTTCAGTGCGCTGCTCAAGCATGTCATAAAGCTTCACCACCAGTCAAGTCCCATCAAAGACTTAATGTAACAACTCTTCTGTTATAGTATTTGTGTATGGTCCCCATGGACTGTTTACTATCCAAAAATACAAGAGAGAAAACAGCACTTGAGGTCTCATCAGTTAAAGCACCTTGTGGAATCTGTTTCCTATATTCAAATATTAGATGGGAAAATTAGTGTCTAGAAATACCCTCCCATAAAGGAGGAAGAGAAGATTTTAAAGACTTAATGATGTCTTCTTGGGCATAAAACTGAGTGTCCCAAAGGTTTATTAATAACAGTAGTAGTTATGTGTACAGGAAATGTATCATGATCCAGTATCACAGTATTGTGCTGTTTATATACATTTTTAGTTTGCATAAATTAGGTGTGTGTGTGTGTGTGTGTGTGCTTCTTGTTTTAGGCAAGCCTTTATAATGTTACAGTACCTAATCTGTTACTCCCACTTCTCCGTTATTTTTGTGTGTCTTTTTTAATATATAATATATATCAAGATTTTCAGAATTATCATTTAGAAGCAGATTTTCCTTGTAGAAACTAAATTTTCCTGCCTTTTACCAAAAATAAAGTAGTGGGGGAAGAAACATGGATTAACTTTTGAAATCCTTGACCTTAATGTGTTCAGTGGGACTTAAACATTCATTCTTTGTCTTTTGTTTATTTACTTCTAAATTTCATTTGGGGAACCATATTGAAATTTTTTTCCAAACCTTTTCATTTTCAATTTTGTCCTAATACCAAAACAAGACATCTATCATCAGAAATGACCGCATAGTAATGTGGACTGTGGCACAAGTTAATTTTGGAGTACAGTGGAAGTTGATGTGAAGTCATTCCCCTGTCCTGCAATCAGATTTCAACAAATAATAATTAACTTGAGTGAGCCTTTGCAGTCTGTGGACTTACCCTTACAGGTCATATATACAGGTGGCAATATAATTAATTGCAAGAACATGCTTGAAGTATTTCTGTATATTTAGCCTTTCTTAAGAAAGTCCATCGATAACTTTAAATACCCTTTTTAGAAGATATTTTAAAATATTTCAGCCACAGGTCTTGATTTGAGTCATCTTGTTTGCTTTATCTACCAGATTGTATTATGAAATAGACCTTTTGTAGATGTAATAGCTTCTGCAGAATACCTAGAAAAGTAATGTTGCGGTACTGTCAGCTGATAAGGGCCACCTGTTTTTAAAATTTGTTATACTGAATTTCTAAAATCTATTATTTTCCATAATTATGAAGTTAGACTTAGAAAGTTGGGAAGAAGCCGTTAGCAAGTTTTTCAGCTTATAATTATCTGCAGTCTGCACAGATAATTATATCTGCACACAGAATTCCTAAGTGTGTCTGTGGCTGACCACTTCTACCAACTGTAATTTATTCTCAGCATTGAGAGTCGATTCCTGAAAACTGTTGGTAGTCCATGATGCAGTAAATAGTCCTTCTGTCTAATGCAAACGGATTGAAATTTACACTTGTTAATTGTTTTCATCTCAGTAGACATGGAAAATAACCACTCCTGATCCCTCTTTTAGAAATTTTTTTCTATTTTGAAGATCTCTTTGGTACTTGATCTTTGAAAACCATATTCACTTGTCTGAGCAGGTGTTGTTATTTTCACTATTTTGAGCATTGGTGGCTTTCTATTGCAGACTGTCCAGTTCTCTGTATTTGTATGTATATGTATTTGTTCTTATAAACTTGACAGTGATTTTTTTAATTCATTGAAACATATTTATTGTTCACCTACTGTGTGCCACAAACTTTCTTAGCCTTTGGGGAAAGGTGAGCAAGACCAGTACAGTCTCTGTCTTTGCTGAGACAGCAATTATTATAACCCTTAATCATCTTATTTATCTGTGAAGAAGATAGGGTGTTGTGATTGAGCATAACAGAGGAGGTGCTTCAAAAAGGAACATCAGAGAAGGCCTCTCAAAGGAGATAATAACTTGAACTAACATCTGACAGATGAGAATGAGCAGGTTGTGTGGAGGACCCAGGTGTGAGAAGCTTTCCTCACAAAGAGTACAGCATCAAATGCAAAGACCTATTGTAAAGGAAACCCACTTGTTAGGTATTAATGCTTTATAGAAACTTCTGCACAGATCCAACTCCAAGGATCAGAATGGTTCTATCATTTATAATATGTTGACAGTGGCCTTATTTTGTGATTAACTTTCATATGTCATTCTATGTTCATTTTTCTTCCTCAAACCCTTGCTGGAAAAATTTGTCATGTGCACCAGGGCATTACCACTTAATTCATCATCCCCTTTAAATCTGATGTGGACAGGTGTTTCCCACTGGAGTGCCTGGCTGTGTGCCACCTGGCTTCCTACAGCCACTGTGCAAAAGGACTTCGACTGCCAGTTTTGTGATTAGAGTCAGAGTCTCAGATCCTGCACCCGCACACCTGCTTGAGGGAACCAGTGAGCCTCTGCCCCTTTGGGAAGTTTTCACTAGTTGTGATGTTAAACAATCCTGAGAACCACTTTGAATGCGGCACAGGATCATCTCTTGGTGGTTACATTTAGTGAAACAGTGCCAACATTGACGGTTCAATATGGCGCACATTTCTTCCATTGCGGTGGGATTTTTATGTACCATATGAAAACAGAACCAACTCTTTGGAGACACGTGTGGAGCAGCATTTGGCTTCATGATGGTGATTGCATTTGTGTGATCGTTTATTTGGCCCCCCCCCCCTTTTTTTTTTAATGAGATGCTGGTATATTTTGTTTTTTTAAAATGCCCTCTTTATGGAGGAGGTTATTTTCCAAGTGGTAGTGCCTCATCTCTATTTGAGCTTTGTTTTTATTTCAACTGGCAACATTATTTTTAATTTCTTTTCAAAAGTACTGGTAATTTTCTCATTGTGATGACATGAAAGATGAATGGCCATGCTTTCCACCACATTTCTTGTGTCAGTCAGTAGTGGTTTTCAAAGTGAATTTTACGGGTTGTGTAGTGGGCTGGCCACAGATAATCCCTCAGACTTGGAGTCAGTCGTTGACAGTGTAATGTTCTGTTTTGAGGTTTTTAAATAATTACATTACTTTTTTCTTTTAAAAGAAGCTTGAAAAGTCTTTAGATTGGTTAAATTTAGGAAGTTTAACTGGATTTAGGCCATCCGGTTGATTTCCTATTATAAAGTTCTTCTGAATAGGTTTCAAGTACACCAGTGGGATATTTCAGCTAATGGCATATTATTATATATACTCATTCAGTAAACATTTATTGATGCCTGTTTACCCAGCCACTGTGATAAACATTGAATAATAAAAAAGATGAAGAGGATGTGGTTCTTACCCTCAAGTTGTGATTAGCCTGGCGAGAGGAACTTATCTCTAACTCTGAGGACCTATTTTCCAGAAAGAAATTGGCCTAATTTTTCTTGAAAGCTAAATGTACTTACTCTGTATTCTTACTGTGTTCCAAATACATATATTTGAAACTGGTTTCAGTTGTTCAACTTTAAAACTACATCCAGTTCAACCTTAAACCCTATCCAGTTCTGTTCCATTAACGTGTATTTTTTAAACATTGTGAGATTCTCCCTCCCTTTGTTAAAATTATTTTAAACTCATTTTATTTATGCCTCTTCTGTCATTTTCATCAAGGCTAGTATTTTAAAGGTAAAAAACTAGGAGCCACCCTCTTGCCACTTGGAATCAAATAAGGAGAAATATACATACAGTCCCAAATTGGTTTGTCTCCTTCTGCCAAAACGATCCCAATATACCTTACGACTTTTTTGTTTTTTAAAAAATAAAAAATTTCTAAATACTTTGAGCATTTATTCAGTATGGGAGACTTTATGGTATGAAACCACCAACCAGCCCTAGGGGTGCAGTGGTAAAGTCTTTGGCTGCTGACCAAAAGGTGGGCAGTTTGAACCCCTCCAGCTGCTCCACAGGAGAAAAGTGCACAGCCTGGGAATCTGCGAGCGGCGCTGCTCTCCTCTCACGGAGCTCCTGTGAGTCGACATTGGCTCGTAGCAGTGGACTTGGTCTGGGAGTTTCCTGGTCAGAAGCTGAGGTAGGTTGATGGTGAGGTGTAAAATAGCGCAAGACAGTCTTGACTGTATACTTAAAAACCTGGCTTCGTATAGTCACGTCTGGACGTTTAACACATTGGTGTTTAGACAAGTTACGCCACTGCCCGTTTCTTTTTCTTCATGTGCTTCACTTTGCTCCGTTTTCTTTAACTTACATAAATTTTAATCTTTTTCCCTGGCCAACCGTGTATTCTGTCCACACATCAGAGTGTCTCTTTCCTTTGAACTTTACCAATGACTTAAAGGGAGATGGTCTTCAGAAGTGTCTTTTTGACTGGTCAGTCTCATATTCTCAGATTGTGTTTTAAACGGTGGTCAGGATGGATTATGGACTCTTGTGACTGTAGCCTGGGATGTTCCCATAATCCTAGCCCTTTCTCTGTCTCGGGGCTTACTGGATTGTTTGGTACAGGCAAGAGCAATGATGACCAAGTACAGCATGAATCTCCAAGATAGTCAGCAGCCTGTTGTGGAGCTTCTGGTGTATCGTCCTTTACAGGGTGATCTTGGTGTGGAATGAGGGCCAGCCTCTCTCCTCAAGCAGAATTCTTCTGTTAAGAGCTTCTCACCCAGGAAATGAGAGCAGTGGTACGTAACCTCATGGTAGTCTTGATGTCAAGAACTTATCTAATGTGTTACAGTTTCTTGAGTAGGTGCATAATTTCTTGGACAATATAGCTAACTATATATATAATCAGAACTCCTTCAAATTTCTTGAGTATGAAGTAAAGTCTAAAATATGTATGAATTTACATACACACAGGAGATGACCATAGGAAATAGTTTATCATTATTGAATCATTCACTTGTTTAACTCTTTCATCTCAGTGAAAAGTTTTTTAAATTCTGCCAGTTCACTTATTAGTTTTATTTTCAGGCAATTTGACAACGAAGAATAGCCAGACTTTGTTAACACAAAGGAAAACTGCCATACACCTTTCCACTAAATCATAGCTCCAGTGGTCCCTGCAAGGTACTAGTTGAGGATTAATTTTGGTGGGGCCAGTGTTAGGTTTCTCCTGCTCTGGTGTAAAATTAAGATACCCTCAAGTGCCTAGATTTAAGGGTAACCTCAAGGTGGTTCACATCCGACTTGCTCAGTTCTGGCCAACAGGAAATGGATTTTCCACGGGTTTTGGCCATTCTTGACTCAGTGGAGATGTGAGTAGACTGGTAGTTTTACCATCGAATTGTAACTGAATCGTAGCTCTACCTTCAGGTTTTCAGAGGCAGTAGAATTGCACACAAAGAGATAGCTCATCTGTCTCCCTTTTTTTTTTTTCTCTATAATTATATTTTATTAATTTTCATAAAC